TATCACACCTGATTCAACTCATCAGCTCATTATTGGAGACTGCAATAGCTGAAGTGGGTGTGTCAGATAGAGGCAGACATACAAAATGTGCAGAGCTGGGGGTACTTCATGGAGTGGTTTGAGAACCACTGCAATAGAGGATCCGGATTATCACCCCGTCCGAGAAGAGGTAAGCAACACCCTTTCCTCCATACATCCACGCTACCTGAAAGACCACAGCTTCCTGAATCCAACGATACCAGTTATGTGCAGATCGGACCTCCGCTTCACCAGATATGGCCAGGTAAGCCTTGGCCAATCAGATCGCATATGCTAATGAGGGTGAAGTTAAAGAGGGTGAAACTCATTTTTATCTATATACCTAACCCTAAACCTAACCCTAAACCTAACCGCCATAACCCTAAGCGATTAGAAACCTAGCCGGTTCAACTCGAGTACTGCTAAATTTAAGGCTGAACTAAACCACAGCCTAAACCTACCCGTCACAGACCCAGCGATGATAAACCTAACTTTCACTCTTTAGGCCCAATGCTTAGATAAGCCCAGCTCCTAGACCGGAGATAATCTCACACGATGTGGTATAGTCTGACAAGCGTGGGCCCGTGCACCTTTCCTCAGTCTCCCTATTCCAAACCTGCCTAGACGGGTACTAGGTTGGGGGGAGCTGTTGTACTTTTCCAAAACCTAACCTAACCCTAACCCTAACCCTACTGGATCTAATTATAATGAATACTGCTCATAAATTTACTTCAACTGGCATATTCTGTAATGATATCAGTGATCACTGTGTAATTGCTTGTGTCAGTAATACAAAAATCCCTAAGGTAAAACCTGTTTTATTTTTAAGAGATATTTAAAAAATTGAGGAACAATCCTTTTTTTGCATGATTTATACCATAGTGATCTTAGAAGTGTAACTTTAATACAGGATGTTGAACTGGCATGGGAATATTTTCAGTCAATTTTTCAGTACATCTCTAATAAACATGTTCCCATTAAGAAGTTCAGGATCAATGATAGGGACAATCCCTGGTTTTCAGGTAATCTTTCAGAACTAATTCATTTAAGAAGTAAATCATGGGCACAAGCCATATTTTCAAACACCCCTGCTGATTGGTCTACATTTAAATAGGTGCACATTGATGATTAGGAAGTCTAAATTAGAGTTTTATTTAAAGTCAGTCACAGAGAATTTAAATAATCCTTCAAAATTCTGGAAATTAATTAAATCCTTGTCAGGGACTCATGTAGCCTCTAGCCTTCCTAAATATATTCAGGTTTACGTAGATAAAATAAACAATAAAGTAGCTATGATCAACCAGTTAAATAAATACTTTATACATGCTGGGTCTGTATTTGACAGTTTAAATCCAAATACAACTGTCCCATGTTCAGTGATTACACCAGCTATTGGAAATCTGGATGTGTTTGTTTTTAAACCTGTTTCAGTAAATCAAGTTTGGAAAGCGTTGAAAGGAATTGATAACAAAACATCTGTAGGCCCAGATAACTTAGACCCTTATCTTTTAAAGGTGGCAGCGGAGGTTATTGCAGAGCCAGTTACTCATATTTTTAATCTGAGTCTTTTGTCGAATTTTTTACCTAAAATTTGGAAAGCTGCTAATGTTCTCTCATTATTTAAAGGTGGTGATGCCTCAGACATGAACAATGATCATCCGATCTCTAAACTCTCGATTTTGGCCAAGATTCTTGAATATCAGGTAAATTTACAGTTAAAACAGTTTTATGTGATAATAATATCTTAAACTCTTTTCAGTCTGGTTTTAGAGCTGGCCATAGTACCATTACTGCTGCTACGGTAGTGGTAAATGACATTATTGGTGCCCTGGATAAAAAACAGCACTGTGCAGCCTTATTTGTGGATGAATTGCTCCAAACTTAGCAGTGTTGGTTTCGGACTAGGGATGTTGAATTGGTTTAGAAATTACTTGGTAGACCGTATTCAGTGTGTTCATGTGGAGGATCTCAAACCAGATTTTCTTGATATATCTAAAGGGGTTTCCCAGGGTTCCATTTTGGGACCTATTTCATTTTCTTTTAAATGTTTCATATGGATTAATGGTTTATCATGTTTCATATGGATTAATTTAACAGAGAATATTTGTTTTGGACGTGACTTGCTTCATTTAAAAGTAGACATTTCAAGCTTTCTATACATTTCTCATGTCTTTGAGGCAAGTATTCACTGAGATTCACTGAGAAGTATTCTTCATCATTGTTGTATTCTGTGGATTTGTTTTGTTTGTAATAAAGTGCTGCAAAAAGATTGCCTCTCCTCATTGACCTACCGTGACTCTTATGTTTCATGAATTTGGACACAGTAATAGTGCAACAAATCATTTTCCATCAGATTGGTGAAGTCTGTTCCATCAGAGAATATTTAAAGAACCAAAATCATGGAATGACAAGTGAGTTTAGACAAATTGATTAGTTTTTAAATTTTTTTATTTGATCAGTTTGGAAAGTCAAATATTTAAATAATTACATCTTAGCATAGTTTGTGACATCAACACAAATATAATAATGGACAAATAAAGGAAAGTGTGAATTATCCGTCAATGGTTTTCAAATTCAGTAAGTGACCATTTGAGTAAATGTGAGTTTATGCAGAACCAGTCTTTATCTCATTCACTTTTAGACAAGTTAAGGCACAAAACGTTTCTATGTACAACACATTTCATACACAGCAGTAATTTAATTTCGCTTTCCCTGGCCATGCAAGATGACCCAAAGATAGGCGGCCTGAAATTTTGCTTGGGTGACTGACTTATAATTTTCAATGCTTCTTCAATCTTCTTAAGCTTGCGCCCAAAGAGACTTGGTTATTAGGTAGTACTTGGTGCTCTGATTTGGTTAAAGGGTTACTTGAAATTTGAGAACTACTGAACTATGGCATTAATGTGAGTCTTCAAAGAAAAACTGATTTTCCGTCCACATTTTTGTAAAATGAGACAAGGTGCAATATCTCTATTGCTCAGCGGGGGGATGCAATAAGATCATAGAATCGAGGCATGTTGCCAAAGCTGCTGAGTTCAGGACTGGTGTCTACTCCATCCGGACCCTTTGGACTGCTAAAGCTGAATTTCTGAAGCAGAGACACGATGAACAGAAAGAGCTCCATACGAGCCAAAGACTCACCCACACAAGAGCGTTTACCTGCAAAGATGCAAGACAGAATAAAAGATCCTGATCATTAATTCTATTTATCCTAAAAGTTATAGTACCTCAATTTGAAGCTTATCTTAGGGGGCTGTTCTGTAATTCTAGAGGTCTGCTTAACCTAGGTGCTGTGCTGAAAATCCTTTATTTGATGTAGTGTTCCTGGTCAAAAATGATTGCTTATAAATCTCTCATTATGCTATACTGTTGCTAAATCTTGGATTCAGTATTTTTATCAACTTGTCTTTCAATAAGCACAAGTTTTGTATTCAATATATTCAATATATATATATATATATATATATATATATATTGTAGAAAGAACTTTGATTAACTTTTGTTTCACTGATCTAAGATTATGCACCTCAGTTTATTGTATATATTAGGGCTGGGCAAGTTAACGCGTTATCATGTTAACGCATTAATTGATTAACGCCGACAATTATTTTATCGCGCATTAACTCAGTTTTTTATTATTATGAAAGTCCGTTGCTCACTGGCTCTGAATACACATTCAGACAAACCATGGGTCACAGGAGGGTGGGATGTTGATCAGTACTGGCTTGGGTGTCATCACACGTCTCAACCAATAAGAGCATTTGGGGTGGGCCTAAGACTGCAGCAGCGCTCACATGAACGGCGCTCAGGATGCTGTGGCATGACCTTAAACAGTCCATTCATGCTCGAAAACCCTCCAATGTGGCTGAATTAAAACAATTCTGCAAAGAAGAGTGGGCCAAATTCCTCCACAGTGATGTGAAAGACTCATTGGCAGTTATCGCAAATGCTTGATTGCAGTTGTTTCTGCAAAGGGTGGCACAACCAGTTATTAGATTTAGGAGGCAATTACTTTTTCACGTAGTGCCTGGCAGGTTTGGACAGCTTTTTCCATTTAAATGTACACAAAATAACCAGTTTGAGTAAAATGCATTGACATGAGATTATTAGGAAATATTTTGGGGCATTTTGTAACAATTGCCATTGTACGACAATATAATCTAGTAATCTCCAAGATAAGAGGAGTTGACCACTGTATGTGTTCATTCTTACCTTTGGTATTATGTAACCTCTAAATGAGATGTCACGTGTGGCATAATGGGGAACATTTAGTGGGACAATGTCAAGATAGCGCTGTACTTCATGAATCACAGCATCAGTGAAGGGAAGGGACTTCCTGTCATCCATTGTAGGGATTCTATTCTGTCCAATAACTTGGTCAATCTCCCTCTGCATTTGCTCTGAAATATATCAAAATGTCATTGCTATTCTTATATATGTTTAATAATTGTGGGCTAAATAATAACAATAAAAAACAACTATACACCAGATAAAAATAATAATTATACACCAGATAAAAATAGCTAAAAAGTATTCCTGTAAAACGAACACGCACTACAAATGCAAGATTTTTGTTTAATATTTTAGACAAGAAATCAGTGATCACAGCACATGACTGTTACCAATGCTCTTGTATCAAAGATGCTACAATATGTTTCAAATTAGCTTGAACAAAATTATTTGAAATCTGGTGGATTAGTCTCCATCTGTACACACTGTCCTGACAAGCAGGAAAGCAATTGTGAATAACGACTAATCAAACTATGAAACAGTGAAAGAGTGCAAGAGAGAAAGAGAGAGAGAGAGAGAGAGAGAGAGATTGGAAAGTGAGAGCAAAAAATTAAATAAACATCTAACTGTCTTCCTGGACACTTATCTATATTCTTGTTTTGTATGTGCACCAACACCACATAAAATGAGACTGTGGACCGAGGACCGTGATTCATAGTCTTGTAGTGTGCACTTAACAGCAAGGAGGGCAACTGTAGTCCCTATGTATGTCTTTTGAACATACCCTGTATGTGGGGGTGCTTGATAAGAAGCATCAGGGCATATCTGAGAGTTGTGCTGGTGGTCTCTGTACCAGCTATGAACAGATTCAAAACTGTCCCCAACATGTTATCCTTGTGGAATTCTGTGTCAGGATTGTGTTTCTCCTGTTGTAGTACATAAAGAAACGGAACATAAATTGTATACTTTGCTGAACAATAGATAATATTGTAAATAGAAGACATAAGAAAAGAGGAACATCCAAAGAGTTTTACATTTTGCTTTTGATACCTGTTTGAGTTTGATAAGAAAGCAGTCAATAAAGTCCTTTTGGTCACCAAAATCCAAATTTTGCTCATGTTCCTTGATTTTCTTCAAGACGAAGGCTTTGATGACTTCTATCTCTTTAAACATGGCATGATGTCTACCAGGCAAGAGTTGCATTAGTTTAGGGAAGACGTTGTACAGCTGTTGGGGTTGAAAAATTAGTTAAGGAGACATTCACATTCTTTAAAGATCAACCAAGTTACTAGTTGTGAGCCTTGGCTATTTTGTCACACCCTGTACATTCCAAATTTCTGTCATGCTTTTATGAGTTTATCGTTTATTTTAGAAGTCCTATAAGAAGCCCTGTTAGCAACCTGTTTCCTTTTCCTTTTAACCTGAAAGAATATTTTGGGATTTCTTGTGCTTATCATTTTTGCTCCATAACCTGCCCCAGACTGTCCCATCAGCTCACCTGACCCTGGGGGCTGCTGATAAAGCGCACGAGCCTGGAGATGATCTGGAGCAAGTGCAGGAAGTTTTTGTCTTCATAATCAAAGCGCTGCCCAAACACCAATGAACAGATCACGTTGGACACAGCCCGGCTCAGGAAGAAGGCTGGGTCAACTGGTGTTGCTGAAGGAGAAAAAAAATGTTATCACACAACTCTGACAGCTGTGAGTGCAGAATGTGTATCACTGCAGTAGTAATGAACTCATGAGGTGGAAATGTCAAATGCTCTCTTCTCTCACATTTGGTTTCTTCAAAGCTCTCCAGCAAATGTCTGCTCTCTTCTTGAATCCACTGTTCCATTCGTTTTCGTCCCATTCCAAAATCCCTTAGCGTGGTGAGAGTGAACCGCCTCAGTTGACGCCAGCGATCTCCATTACTGATGGCCAAACCTGCAAACATGTAAGAGGTATCGAAATTTACAATAAACTCCATTAGACTGACAACATCTGTCAGTCCTATAAGACCGAATGAACTCTGAATGAACTTCTGAATGAACTCCATTAGACTGACAACATCTTTAACAAAAATTAACATTAATCTCACCGTAGCCCCTCAGAACTTTGATCAGAAATGGAATGGGAGCTCGGCCTGTAAAGTGCTCTGCCTGGTCCACTAGAGCCTCTTTCACTGTACCATAACCGACCAGAACCACCATTCTTTGAGGCCCGAGGTACACCGTCATTACAGGCCCATAAGTTTTGCTCCACTGTTTGAGAGAATACAGTTTACCATCACACACCAGTGCAAACTCAGCAAGTGTTTGAGCATTTCAGAATATATGTAATTTGCTACTCTAAAACCAATGTTTCACAAAGAACAATGAAATCTCTCTGTGGCACAGCTTAATCCACCAATGACAACTCTGCTATGATGCACTGGTAAACATCTGCACAAGACTAAAATGCAACAACCTTTTGTTGTAAAAATATTGTAGATGCAATTCACATGCTTATATTTGAAGCATAACATTCAGAAATACATAGTCCTGCTACCTCTTTTACCTGCATAAAGCTTTTAAAGGGTGCACGCTTGTCCATGATTGGTAGGTTGCCAATCAGTGGCAGTGCCAGTGGCCCCGGGGGCAAAGAAAGTCCACTCGCATTCCTCTTCCACCAGACCAACATCAACACAGCCAAGACTAAAACCAACACCAGTGAGCTAGAGAATTCCATCCCTCTTCTGTAAAATGTTGCTTACAGCCCAGTTTATATCTTTCTATGTTCTCTCAGTTCCATAACTCTTTGTTCTGTGTTCTCTATATATGAAGTGGAGGCAGAGCAGTTTGGGGGCAGTTCCAGCATGAGTGGAACAGAGGTAAGGCATGTGATCAAATACCTCTTGTGCACTTTAACCAGACTGCACCATAATCTATGTGGTGGAAAGTTGAATTTATTTATTTTTTCTCAGCAAAGGCACTTGCACAATGAAACTGTCATGCCCGTTTTAATCAGTATGGTCAAGAGAATTCTTAGCAGGTATCTCACCATTTAACATATTTTAATTTACATAAAAAAGACACAAAGAATCTCTTTCTCATTGGTTTGCTTATGTTATTTCTTATTTCATTTTTTCTCTCCTTAACAATTCTTGTTTTTAACTTTTTCTGTTGACCCACTGCTGATAACCTGTCAGCAATAATGTTTTTTTAATTTTTTTAAATTTATATTTAATTAATTAATTTATTTATTTTGTGTTATTGTCTAAGTGGCAGAGATGCATTGCTGCCAGGTATTGCTATGGTAACAAACAAACACAAGGCCCCCCCCCCAATAAAATAAACCAGAACTGCAACTTCCCACTTTATTAACTTCCTAAACTCTCACATTAAAGGGGTCATATGATGCGATTTCAGTTTTTTTTTAAGAAGATCTGTAAAGTTGCAAAGACTAAAGTCTCAAATCCAAAGAGATATTCTTTATAAAAGTTAAGAGTCAACCACGCCTACCTAAAACGGCTCATTCTAACACGCCCCCACATGTCTACGTCACGATGTGGGAAGATTTGCATAACACCGCCCAAATGTTCACGCAAAGAAAGAAGGCATAACTTTTATTCTCACTGTAGTATTGTTGTTGCCACCGCCGCCATGTCGTGAAGGCGCTGTGTCTTTCGTTGTGAAACGAAACTACTTTGGCCTTCCAAAATAGGATGATATCTGCTTCGTCATGCCTAGAGCTGATCCATGCTGGTCGCTGAGGAAATACATCAACTTAGTGCTGTGGATCGCCGGATCGGCTTTCACCGTGGACGAAGCCCGGGG